ATATAATGTCATTATAATATAACGATACCAAACTTCTAGAAAACTATATTTGTGGTATTTGAGTGATCTGAAATTTTGTATACACGCTCTCTTCATCTCAATAGTAAATCTTAAAAAAGATCAATTTTAATTTGCACCCTATATGGTAAAAATGAGTCCCAGTAAATATAAATTGTCTAATTAGTGAACTTCAATATCGAGGCCTTTATGAATTTAAAATCAATTAAGCGTCTCATCAAAATGGACGGCCTATGTTAACTGTACAAAAAAAAATATGTTTGAAATTTTTTTTTTTATGATTTTCATTAGAATAATAAAGAAAAGATAAAAAGAAACCTTTATGTTTTCAGGTAGCATCTCAATCTTTCTCTCTGATTGTGTTACTTTTGCGTTTTTCACCCCATTACGGTTGGTTTTATCTACATTTTCGTTTCCTTTAATTTACCTTTTTTTCTTAATGGGATGATTAAAACCAAAATTATTCATGTACTGGGGATAAACACAGGATATAGATCTAGTCTTCATTACTTTTTTTTGGTATAGATCTAGTTTTGATTACTTCTTTTCTTACAAGATCTTTGTCTTCATTATGCAAGAAGAAATGTATGGAAGCGATTGAGAAAGTAGCTCTTGTATTGAGGAGGCCCTTTTGTTTCTTGACACTTCAAGGAAACAGAGGGTTTAACATGGTTAAACATCTCCTTCAGTAGAATTCATGGAATTCAACAAGTTCATGATTTGAGATCTAGTTGGGATGAGTGGGTTCTATTCTGGAGGGTGAATAACCACCGCAAAAGACTATTATGTGTTAATGATACAGAACACTTGTGAAAATGCTTAGGCACAATTATTGGGAATTGTCTTGTAAAAAACTTTTCTGTTTTACTATTGTTTTTTTTTTTTTCATTGAGTTTGGTAACACAGTTGGGGACTGTGGTATGTATAAATCCAATAGTGTTGTGTACACACTAAATACTTCTTAATACTAAAATAAACTCTATGGTTTAATTTGAATTTTGAGATTTGATTACTTTAAGCGTTTGCCTTAAATGCCTATAATCTTTCTGTAGATATGCTATTGTAGAAGAATTAGCTGGACTAGGAGCATCAATATATACATGTGCTCGCACTGAAGTCGATCTTAACAAATGCTTAGATGAGTGGAAAGGGAGGGGATTCAATGTTCACGGATCAGTTTGTGATTTGTCGTCCCGTGCCAATCGGGAGAATTTGATTGAAGCTGTATCTGCACATTTTAATGGGAAGCTGAATATCCTTGTAAGCTCTGTACTATCTATTCCTTTGCGGCATGCTTTACAATTGATTTCCACGTTTGTTTCTCCTAAAGTAGTAAGTACGAACTATTGCTTGTTTCTAAAATTTATTCTGTGGTAGCATTGTGTTCTAGTCTTTAGATGTATATTTCATTGTACATTTAGACAACGTTGTTTGAAAGTTTAATATTTTGTTAATATCCAATGCTGGTTTATTTAGTTCCTCTTCTCGTGATATCTTTCACAAGAAATTCAGAGAATCTGAATAATAAATGCTCCAAATGTAACCTCTCTCTCATCCTTGAAATAAATATAACTATTTCTCTTTCACCTCCCAAGTCTTTTTTGGAGTGATCACGGTAGAACGAAGGTTCCACAAATGAGCAGGGGTTGTCAAATTATTTTTGTATTTTATTACTCTGCCCCAACACAGAGCAACTCTTAGCTTGTGCTAACTTACGCATTTACTTTTCAACATTTTAAGAGCTTTTGGCTCTTTTCCTTCCTCCATTACATCTATTCTTTTCATGCTCAGTTCCCTTTCGTTACATTGTTGTTCAAATTTTCTTTTTTGTCTGTTTTTTTTTTTTTCTAGTTCTCAATCTGTTATTTTGTTCTCATAGTATCTTTGAGGAATAACATTAATGGTCACCTTTTCCTTTTTACATTTATGAAACTAATCACCACATCTCCCTGGCATTAAATTCAGCTTAGGTGTAGTAGGTAATTAATAACCAGAAGAAAATATGTTTTTTAAGATACTTTGGGCTATGCTAGTCTTTATGTTGTTCCCATATTAACTCTTAACAGTCGGTTAATCGGTTTGATTTGCTTGCTTTAGGTGAATAATGTTGGGACAGGCTTTCGCAAACCATCGGTTGAGTATACCGCCAAGGACTTCTCATTTTTAGTGTCAACCGACTTAGAGTCTGCTTACCACATGTGCCAACTCTCACATCCTCTTCTCAAAGCATCAGAAGCAGGAAGCATTGTCTTCATCTCCTCTGTTGCTGCAGTGGTTGCTCTCGATGTTGGTAGCATATATCCAGCAACTAAAGGTAACTAAAAATGTAGCCTTGATACTTCCTCTTACTAATAACAACAAAAGAGAAAACTTCGATATTCTCTCCTGTATAGAATGTCTAAATCTTTATTCAGCAGTCATATCTTTATGAAATTTGTCCTCTTGACAGTCATAATCATTTGTTTTCTCTTAGCTGCAATAAATCAAATAACAAAGAACCTCGCTTGCGAGTGGGCAAAGGACAATATTCGGACCAACAGTGTGACACCATGGGCTATAAAAACACCCCTTGTGGAAGATGTATGCACTTTTCAACAGAAGTAGCCATGGAAGTAAAATTTATTCGGGCCAAATACATCTCTTTGTGATTCATTTATTGTCTTTTTTCCACAGTTACTCGCGAATAAGGAGATATTAGAGTCAGTCATTGCACGAACTCCTATGCGGCGGACAGGGGAGCGTGAAGAAGTTGCATCTCTTGTTGCATTCCTTTGCATGCCAGCTGCATCTTATATCACAGGCCAAGTCATTTGTGTTGATGGTGCATTCACTGTAAATGGCTGGTTTCCATGATATTCGAGTACTTTTACTAGTACTCTCTCTTTCTCTCAAATGATTTACGTTCCAAGGAATAACTGGAAATGATTTTGTTTATGTAGTGAGGTTGAGGGCATTTATATCGGTTCCCAAACAAGTGAATGACTGAGGGACCAGAACGGACCTCTCTAGTGAGTAGCTCGAGTGGAACAAACACTTCCTAAAACTATTTAGTAATAGACGGCGGTGAAAGTAGTTTTGCTTTTGATTTAGTGATCCATCAAAACAGGGTCATTTGTATTGTTCCAATTATGTATGCCTATGGGTTTTCCTCTATGAAGTGAACTAAGTTTGAAGATTTTTCTTATTTCACTTTGAAGAGGAATTTCTTGATTATAATAAATATGAAACCAGATTAATATAGAAAGATTAGATGTAATTTGCCTCATAATTACATAACCCCATACCCTTAATATTCAAATAGTCAAAAAATGAAGAAAAATTTGTTCTAATACATGCTGCATGCACTGAGATGTATCATTCTTTCATCAAAGCCAAGAAATGGTTCATCAAACTCTCAGTTGTCAACAACAAACAGTTAAAGGATGCTTGTGGAATAGTTTTTGTTAGCAACATGTGCCATAGAAAAAAATATACAAAAGATTGTGTCATGAAGAATTAAATTTCTGCCCCTATAGGAACTTGAAAATTGGGTTTGCACCAAAGTCAAATCTAAATAAGACAAATGCCAATCTCATGCATCAGCATTAGAAGAATAATTATGGGGCTCTAGTTGTCACCCAGAACTAGTGCTGCCAATAGTTTAGGGCGGGTCTTGGGCTTCCGGGACGGTTTCTAGGCTGCTATTGGGCCTATCTTGGGCCTTCGATTTGGGCTTTTGTCGGGCCGGCCCAGAATAGCACATAAAAATTGCCATGCAGGATGGGCTGGCCTGGTAAGATTGAAACTATTTGACCCGGACCAATAAGCCCGGCCCATGTAGAAGCCCATTTTTTATTTTTTATTTTTTTTTTATTTTCACTCTTGAAACTTTTTTTGTTTGTAGTAATCCAAAAAAATAAAAATAAATAGATGTTAAAATATTTTTTTTGAAAATTTAAAACTATTTTCTCTCTCTAGAACTCAATTTCTTTTTTTTTTTCTAACAATCCATTCTCTCTCTAGAAATCCACTCTCCTTCTCTCACTAAAAATATCCTCTCTCTAGAAATTTAATTTCTGTTTCTCTCACTAAAAACTCTTCTCTTTCTATCTTTAAAAATGATTCTCTATTTAAATCCCTCTCTCTCTAAAAACCCAATCTCTCTTTAAAAAATCAGTATCTCTCTCTAGAAATTGAATATCTCTCTCTCTTTAAAAATCCAATCTCTCTTTCTATCTCTAAAAACTAAGTCTCTTTCTAAAAACACAATCTTTCTCTATTTAAAAACCTAATCTCTCTCTAGAAACCCAATTTATCTTTTCTCTCTCTCTAAATATTCATTCTCTTTCTAGAAACTCAATCTCTCTCTAAAAACTCATTTTCTCTATCTATAAACCCAATCTTTCTTTCTCTCTCTAAAAATGCACTCTTTCTCTAAAAATCCAATATCTCTTTCTCTCTAAAAACCTATTTTCTCTCTCTAAAAACCATACTCTCTCTAAAAACCTAATCTCTCTTTCTCTCTCTCTCTAAAAACTCCTTCTTCTCTCTAAAAACCTAATATTTTTTTTCTCTAAAATCCAATCTTTTTTTCTCTCAAAAAATCTCACATTATTGTTTCATCGGCTATCATGGTGTCACCATCAATTAAGTTTCCCCAGCGGTTAAACTGATTCACTGTTGGTCATGGTGTTTACTTTCTTTGTAAAGTGGTCACTTACTCACGATGTCTTTTAATTGAGAGTGTGTCCCAAAAACGCTTCCTCCATCGGGTGGTCAAAAAGAATCCAGCCTACCCATGAGGGGTAGCGGAGAATCAAATAAAAAATGAGTCCTCTGTTACCACTTGTTGAGATCATCCACTCGAGCCTTCTTGCAAAACTGTGGATGCACTCAGTAGAACCCAAATACGAGATAAAATACACCAAAAATCCTTGCGTGTGTGAATGTGTGAAAATAGTAAATAAATAAATACTAACACGAGATTTTGCATGGTTCACTTTTTTAGGTTGCAACTATGAGAGAAAGAATTAGACCTACTAATTAAATTTTTTATCACAAGATCAACCAAGAAGCAAGTTTTTTTTAGTTGAAACAATACCAATAAAAATTTTAGTTCAAAATGAAACAAAATTCAAATTTTCATCTTTAATTTCCATCTAATAGGATAATTGATTCAAAAAAATGATTACCTCTTCTAAAGTAGTTAAAAAAAGATCAAACTCATGTTTTTCGAAGAGAAAATAGATAAAGAAAAAAGGGAATTGAATAAAGTGACGAAAAAAAAGGAGAAAATCCCAAATCAATCTTCAAGATGTTTTGTTTTGATTCAAAAACTTTTCTTAATACTATTGTAGATAATACAAGAGGAACAATTTGTGAGAAATTTGACAAAATTTGGTGAAATAGTGAGAGAGAAATCAAAGATTTTTTTATCTCGGTTTCAAAAAAATTCCCAAATATTGGACTCTTGATTTCTTATTTTTCGGTTTTTTATCCAAAATTGATACATATAAAGTGAATATGGCTCAAAAACTAAAATTTTGAAATTAGTTTCATGGTTTTGGTAAAAAAAAATGAGGGGCAAAGATTGGAAATGGGGGGCTAGAGGTTTTAGAAGCAAAAATATAATTTTTTCTTTTGACCTTTTCTGAATCACCTCATTCCATAGGTCGCTCAGACCTACCCATTGCTAGTACCGAGCAAACTCGGGGATTCTAAGTTAGCTTGGTGATTTTTTAAATACTGATATCTATTAAAGGAGTTATAACAATGGTAAATGGCTTGATTATCCTATGACACACAAATTCAATGGACGAATGAAATGATCATGTAAGAAATTTAAATATTTTAATTATTAAAAATTATAAAAAATCACACTTTACTTTGATATAAGCTCATAATCACTTTTAGCTATTAGATTATTCTGATCTAGATTATTATGATCGGCTAGGTTGTGACTTTGATTGGGCTCAAAGCCCCTTAAATGTTTTTGAACTCAGTAACACTCCCCCGAACCATTAGATCTTACATTTGATTCCATATAAGTATTGTGATCTTCTTGTGTCAAAAATAAAGTCCCGTGCAATCCAATATGCTATAAGACTATTCCCTTTGGTACAACTAGGTTGCAATCATCACGTGGTCAAGAATCTATTTTCTTTTTTTTATAGTAACATAGTGTATCAGTTGTCTTTATAAATTTGAGTCTATTAACTTCTTATTTTTATCATAAGCAGTGTTCGACAACAGGGGTGAGCCAAAACGAACTCACTTGAGTATCTCTAGCTCGTCAGGGTGTCCCGAGTTTTATGGCCAAGCTCAAGATCTTAAAAAAATAAAATTATAAAAAAACCCAAAAATGAGATATTTATTTTAATTATTTTTTATGTTTTCTATCATTTTAGCAAGGATTGGGAAGTGTTTTGGCCACAAATTCCTATTTTTGCATTTTTCCCTTCTTTCTAAAGTATTTCTAAAATACCCCAGTTACAAAATTGAATTTTTGGAATCTATATTTTGGCTACTTTTTAACATCGTTTAGTTGTGTTAAGTTTAATTTTACTTCAAACATATTTTTCATATTTTAAATTTTTTTTGTAGTAACACTTTTTGCCCTAGGACCCAACTCGGGGCCCATTCGTGATTTCCTACATTTCCTACATTGATAATAAGTGAGTGCTAAAGCTCTTCTTACAAAGTTTGAGAAACATATTTTCAAACGTCGTGCAAGATCAACGAGAACACCAACCATTGTTCGGATTCCAAGAGAAAAAATGGTTTGATAGGGTTGCAACCCCATCAAAATAAGTAACGCTTTACCTCATACCTCCGAAAAAAATTGCAATTGAAGTGTTGAAAAGCTTTACCTCATACCTCCGAAAAAAATTGCAATTGAAATGTTGAAAAACCTTTGAATCAATTATCGAATACTATGCTTGTTAAAAAAAAATTGAATTTCAAAGTTCTATAAAGGGTGCGGTTTGTATAGAGCCTAGGCTCTAAACAATCAAATCAGAGCCTACTTACAAATAGTATCGAAAAATGTGGTTTTACTATTTGAAAATCTTTGTGATAGCTTTAAAAGATATTTTTATATTTATTTATAAAGTTTAAAGTTTTAAAAATAGTATCGATGGACATATCTATGAAAACCTTGAAAATTAATGGTCTAAAAATGCGTTACAAAATATACTATTTCCAAAACTTGAAATTCATTTTTTTCTCATGTCCATGCGTCTTGATGTCGAGATGATCAATTTGAAGATATTTGGCCATCAAGACAACCTCTTCTCATGAACGTTTTGAGGTAAGTTCAAATTTGATGGTTTAGAACCTCGGCCCTATATAGACTTTTCCCTTCTATAAATACTTTATATTGCACCAGATCATATAGACTATCCATTCACTCGAAAAATTTGTGATAAAAGAAGCCTAAAATATGTATCATTTTTTTAATTTCAAATTTTATTGTTATATTGGATGTTGAAAAATGATTTTAGAACTATCATCAAATTTCTTATGCCCATTGGGATGACGATTCGAGGTGGGCCTTTATTTTGATTCCATAAAACCTAGCCCTATAGAAACTTCATACCGTCATGAGACTTAAAAAGTGCGAACGACCTGCTCCGTAGATCTTCGCATATGTCACTGATGACGCAAGAGTATTGACCCAGGCCTCTGTCTCCCTTAGCCACATGTTTTTGACTGATTGCGATTAGTACCAGACTAATGGTACAAAGAGCTTAACCTCTTGGGATTTACTTTAAGATGGAAATGTTGGGTTTATTGAGCATTTCATTCATTCATATGTATAGCCAAGGGTCTGGTGGAAGTGCGAGTGTGGTTCAGGCATTCCGCAGGAATCCGCAGGAAGGGAAATGGGTGAAGCAGAGAAGAGCAGAAGAAGAAGAGAGAGATGGTCTCTTCATGGGATGTCTGCTCTGGTCACTGGAGGCACCAAGGGAATTGGGTCTCTCTCTCTCTCCCCCCTAATTTTCGAGCTGCCATGTGTTAATTTCATTTATGCATACTCCTTTAATATACATATATATGACCCTACCAAAAGATTAAAAAAAAACCTTTATGTTGGTTTTGTGTATTTCTGACTCTGCTGTATTTTGTATTTCACCCCATTACTGTTGGTTTTATCTGCATTTTCTTTTCCTTTGATTTACCTTTTTTTCTTAATGAGATGATTAAGACCGAAATTATTCATGTGCTGTGGGGATATACACAGGGGATATACCTAGTTTTGATCAATCTTTCCTGACAACGTTTTTTCTTACAAGGTATTTATCTTCTTCTTTTTTGGGGTAGTTCAGTGGTAGGAATCCAACCTGAGATGCAGCATTGCATGATGAGATCTTTGTTTTCATTATGCATAAAATTTATATGGATGATGATGATGATGAACGAAGATGATGATGATGATGCAAGAAAATATATATGGAAGTGATGGAGTAAATAGACTCTTGTATTGAGGAGGACCTTTTGCTTATTGACACTCAAGGAAACAGAGCCTTTGACATGGTTAAGCATCTCTTTCGGTGGAAGTCATGGAATTCATCAAGTGCATGATTTGAAATCTAGTGGGGATGAGTGGTTTCTCTTTGAAAGGGTGAATACCCAACACAAAAGGCTATTATGTGTTGATGATACAGAACACTTAAAGGAAATGCTTAGGAAAAATTATTGGAAATTGTATTATTGGAAATTGTATTATTGGAAATTGTATTATTGGAAATTGTGTTGTACAAATTTTTTCTGTTCTGCTGTTGTTTATTTGTTGTTAAGTTTGCTAACATAGTTGGGAACTGTGGTATATATAAATCAAATGGTACTGTATACATGTTACATGCTTCTTAATACTAAAAGTCTAAAATTAACTCTATAGTTCAATTTGAATTTCAATCTTTGATTACTTAAGAATTTGCCTATAGTGCCCAAAATCTTTCTGCAGATATGCTATTGTAGAAGAATTAGCTGGACTAGGAGCATCAATATATACTTGTGCTCGCACTGAAGTCGATCTCAACAAATGCTTAGATGAGTGGAAACGGAGGGGATTCAATGTACATGGTTCCGTTTGTGATTTGTCATCCCGTCCCAATCGGGAGAATTTGATGGAAGCAGTTTCTGCACATTTTAATGGGAAGCTGAATATCCTTGTAAGCTTATATTATTTATTCCTTTGCAGCATGCTTTGTAATTGAGTTCCATGTTCATTTTCTCCTAAAGCAGTAACCGTTACTTGAATAGTATTGAATAATCTTGAAAATGGGTAGATTCCATATAATTATTATCCCTTGACCTATCTTCCTGCAAAGGAGAAAGAACTCCTTATCCATCTTTAATGTCTACAAGTTGATGAAAAGCCGCACATTTGTTATTTCATATTCTAAAGTCGAATTGTGTTTACCTTTTAATGGTTGACAAATTGATGGATGATTATGTTAACCAAAGTATATGTGTAAAAATTCCCAGGACACTGCATAGTTTTCAACATGAAACCTTAACTCCACAATTATGGCATGATAAAGGCAGCAGGTGCTGTTGATTTGTAGATTTCGGTTTGTTGACTTTGTGAACTACTGTTAATCTCCAACATCCATCATTACGACTCGATGGTGAATGTCCCTGCAACACACCCATGTCTACTACTAATGCCTGGTTTAATTTCCTTTCATTAATGCTCTCAGCTTTGGTATAATATATGTAAATATCAGCTATGGCTTGTTTCTAAAATTTATTCCGTGGTAGTATTGTGTTCTAGTCTTTAGGTATATATTCCATTGTACAATTAGGCAAAGTTGTTTGAAAGCTCAGCATTTGTTACTATCTAGTGCTGGTTTATTTAGTTTATCTTTCCTGATTTCTTCCACAAGAAATTCAGAGCACCTGAGTAATAAATGCTCTAAATGTAACCTCTCTCTCATCCTTGAATAAATGTAACTCTTTCACCTCCCAAGTCTCGTTTTGGAGTGACATTGGTCGAACAAAGATTCCACCAGGGGATGTCAAATTATTTTTGAATTTTATTACTCTGCCCCAATAGAGAGCAACTCTTAGCTTGTGCAAAATTGCGCATCCACTTTTCAACATTTTTATGACCTTTTGGCTCTTTTCCTTCCTCTATTAGATCTATTCTTTTCATGCTCAGTTCCCTTTGGTTATTTTGTTATTCAAATTTTCATTTTTTTTTTTTCGAGTTTGTAATCTGTTATTTTGTTCTATAAGCATCAAACATGGTAGTATCTCTCAGGAATAACAATAACGATTGCCTTTTCCTTTTAACATTTATGAAGCTAATCACCACATCTCCCAGGCATTAAATTCAGCTTAGTTGTAGTAGGTAATCAATAACCAGAAGAAAATAATTTTTTTAAGATATTTTGGGCTATGCTAGTCTTTATGTTGTTCCCATATTAACTCTTAACAGTTGGTTAATCGGTTCGTTTTGCTTGCTTTAGGTGAATAATGTTGGGACAAACTTTCGCAAACCAACGGTTGAGTATACAGCCAATGACTTCTCATTTTTAGTGTCAACCAACTTAGAGTCTGCTTACCACATGTGCCAACTCTCACATCGTCTCCTCAAAGCATCAGAAGCAGGAAGCATTGTCTTCATCTCCTCTGTTGCTGCAGTGGTTGCTGTCAATGTTGGTAGCATATATCCAGCAACTAAAGGTAAACTAAAACTGTAACCTTGACATACTTCCTCTCACAAATAACAACAAAAGAGAAACTTTGATATTCTCTCCTGTATAGAATGTTTAAATCTTTATTCAGCAGTCATATCTTGTGAAAGTTGTCCTCTTGACAATCATAATCGTTTGTTTTCTCTTAGCTGCAATGAATCAAATAACAAAGAACCTAGCTTGCGAGTGGGCAAAGGATAATATTCGGACCAACAGTGTGACACCATGGTTTATAAATACGCCGTTTGTGGAAGATGTATGCACTTTTCAACAGAAGTAATCATGGAATTAAAGATTATTTGTGGCAAATAAATCTCTTTGTGATTCATTTATTGTCTTTTTTCCACAGGTAATCGAGAATGAGGAGATTTTAGGGTCAATCATTGAACGAACTCCTATGCGGCGGATAGGGAAGCCTGAAGAAGTTGCATCTCTTGTTGCATTCCTTTGCATGCCAGCTGCATCTTATATCACAGGGCAAGTCATTTGTGTTGATGGTGCACTAACTGTAAATGGCTGGTATCCATGAGATGGACAATTCATTCTAGTACTTTTACTGGTACTCTCTCTCTGTCTGTGAAATGATTTAGGTTCCAAGGGATAACTGGAAATGTTTTTAGTTCTGTAGTAAGGTTGGGGGCGTTTATGTCGGTTTCCAAATAATTGAGGGAGTAAACGGGCCTCTCTAGTGAGTAGCTGGAGTAGAACCAACACTTCCTAAAACTATTCAGCAGCAGACAGCGGTGAAAGTTGTTTTGCTTTTGATTCAGTGATCCATAAAACAGGGCCATGTGTATTGGTCCAATTATGTATGCCTATGGGTTTTTCTCTATGAAGTGAACTAAGTTTAAAGATTTTCATATTTCACTTTGAAGAGGAATTTCTTGACCATAATAAAGATGAAACCAGATTAATGTAGAATGATTAGATGTAATTTGCCTCACAATTACATAACCCCATACCCTTAATAATCAAATAGTCAAAAAATGAAGAAAAATGTGTTCTAATACATGCAGCATGCACTGAGATGTATCATTCCTTCATCAAAGCCAATAAATGGTTCGTTAAACTCTCAGTTGTTGACAATAAACAGTTCAAAGATGCTTGTAGTATATAGTTTTTGTTAGCTACATGTGTCATGGTATAAAAATCCAAAAGGTTGTGTAATGAAGAGTTAAATTTGTGCCCCTATAGGAACTTGAAAATTGGGTTTGTACCCAAGTTAAACCTAATTATGACAAATGCCAATTTCATGCATCAGTGTTAGAGGAATAATTATGGTGCTCTAGTTGTCGCCCAGAACCAGGCGTCGTAGCAAATGGGGTGAGGGTCCATTTGTGCTACAGTGGTCCCTTGGGGTGCCACTTTAGAAACCCAAGTAGAAGTGCACAAACTAAAAGAGCACAAGTGCTTGTTGAATGAGTCATTATAAAAATACCAATTTCTTCCCACTTAAATGTTGCATTTGTAGAAACGCTAACGGCGCATTGATCACAACATAAGCTGCATGCAAATTCAAGGTTAAGAAATTTATTGATCTATGTGAATTGTACCCACTAGGAGCATAGAATTGTAGAGAACTTACTATAGGAAGTATTTTATGATCAGATGACCATGGTGATGCTTTGATCATAAGGGTCATCACCATCAGTTCATCAGATTGAATTGGGGCAAGAGTGGGTCTTAGTCTTTTTTTTCTTTTTCTAAGAGTAGGTCTTAGTTATAAATTCAATAGTATATGTCACTATCCTTTATCACTATACAACCCATTGATTAGACGGTGATAACCCTAATGACCTTAATGTTGCAATGATCATATTGATCTTAGTAGACTACCTCATATGAGTCACAATGGAGGTTGAACATGCAACTTAAATACTCCATTCACTCACCCAATACCTCAGTAAGCATGAAGCCATATTTATTAGTAAAAATCACCTTGTCTTTTCTCAGGTAGGAAATTAGGATTCAAACTTTAGATTTGTCTTTTGGATCCTTAATTTCATGGACGTTAAGATATAGCATGTAGCAGCATTTTAAACGGATAGGATCTTGCCTGTTCTATGTGATTGGGACAATGTACCGATCATTCGATTTGGTCAAGTATTGGCAATCTTGAGGTTTATAACAGTTGTTATGTATTGGTGAGGCCTTGTATATTGTCTAATTGAAATTTGAAAAGATCATGCTATATGAACCAAGTTGTATTTGATCTTCAAAACAATGGCTGCGGTAATATATCAAGGGTGC